TCAGATAAACAGGCCTGAATCCTAGCTCCACCGCTCCCAGCTGTGTGACCTTGCACAAGTTACTCAACTCCTCTGAGGCTCAGTTTCTGCATGAAAAGGTGTGGTGATGATAGTTTCTCCAACAACACCTGGCTATGGGGCATTGCGACCAGGCGATGAGATCACTAGAGAATGGTTGCTTCAGCTGTTTGACCAGCCTGGGCTTACTTCCCCCAGGTCAGCTTCCAAACTTCTGGAACAGCACCTGCTGTCCCTCTTTTCCTTCCATGTGCAATGCCCCAGGCGCCTGGCATGGAAGTCCTGGTGCCTTCAGGATACCAGGTCAGAGCAGTGTGTGTGTGTCCTGAGTGGAATGCAGTACAATGCTTTCCCCGTGCTTCCTTCCAGAGCAGCTGCTGGGCTCTCTGGTCACTGGGTCCAGCTCCACTGAATTCCACATCCCTTCACCCTGGGTCACTCCTCCCTCATCAGTTGAAAACAGCAATTCTTGAAGAGGAGCGGGCACGGGAATTGCTGGTGCAAATCAGACTCTGGGGTCCACTGCCCCAGAGGCCTCCACTTAGGCCTCCAAGGTGTATCTCTCATCACAGCCCTGGAGCTCAGTCCCACGTCTTAACGTGTCTTTCCCCAGATGACTCACCAATCCTCAAGCAAGTCTAGACCTTTCCATCTTCACCTCCGCACTTCTGATTTTGATGATCTCTCCTCTGAGAGAGATTTCCCCACTTGCCTACGTGATGTCCATCTTTGACAGACTCAGTCAAATACCTCCTCCCTTGGAAGCCCCTTTGGTTCTGGCTTCCCTCCCCCTCCTCTGCATACTCCTGGACGCTGCATTTGCCTCCAGCATAGCAAGTGTCATGGCTTCCCTGTCTTAGAATCATCCTCCATAACAGTGAAGCTGTGAATTGCAAGTGCAAGAATGTGAGGTGTAAACATTGCCCCACTCTGATGCGCTGCCCCAAGCCCTAGAGAAGTGTCACTGTCCCCGTTTTATAAAGAAGGAGGCCCAGGGACTTGCTGAGCTGGGATTTGTCTTGCATCTTCCCTGTGGCTTTTGTGGGCATGTCCTGCCTCCTTCGAGACAGCACAATGAAGGTCCTGGTCAGACTCCTTTTCTTTCCTTCAGGACCAGGCGAAGTCCAGCCCCTCAGGGATGCTAATTCTTGAGATGAGGATGCTCCTAAAAAGGAAATGTCAGCATAGGGGTGGCACAAGGGGTTAAGACGCAACCTATGAAGCTGTCCACAGCCTCTGCAGCACGAGTTCCATCCCTGGGCTGGGAGCTACCCACATGGCACAGCAGACCTCTCCTGTCTTGCCCGCTGCTCCCCTCAGCAGTGTATTTCAGTCAATCTGCCTGTTCTGCTCCCCGCTTATTCACAGGGGAATATTCACCAGAATATTCTTCCCCTGTGTGGAACAGGGGTTAGCGGGGAGGGGTAGGATGGTGGAGGGGTAGGGTGGTGGCATAGGGGCCAACGGACTGGTTTGGAATGAAATCAGGGAAGAAAACATCTTCTGGGAGATGAGTGATGTGGTGACACACAACAGGGCAGCTACAGTTCCTGCTCTGGGAAACTCAGGGCATTAAGGGGATTAGCTGGAATTGGGTAGGAGCAGGGCCAGAGAGTAACATAAACCATCTTCCATCTTCATTTATATGCCCCAGGGGGTCCCCTGTACGAAACCTGCACATATGCCCCCCCACACACATATGTGCAGATGCACATCAACATCTGTATACAAAGCTATTCATCATGGAAGTGACTGTAAGGCAACGGTGCTAACTCAGTGTCGACCCATAAGGAACTGGTTTAATCAGTGGGATTCCCTGTGGGAACACAACGCTCTCCCAGCCATGAAAGGTGGAGGAAGTCCTCGCAGCTCTGCTGTGGAACAACCACCAAAATAGATTTTTAAGTAAAAAATACAATGTGCACAATCAGGGAAATGAAAAATGAAACCATGACAAGATATGAGTTCACCTGGATCAGTCTGGAAAATTTTAAGAAAGGAGAATTCATTCCAAGGGATGGTGCAGAAGAAGACCAAAGGGCACCTCAAGCCCCGGGCAGGTGTATGAACGGACACCGTTACTCTGGAAATCAGTTTGGCATTTTCTACTGAAGATGATAATGTGGTTTCCCTGGCCCCTGAAAACACCACAGGGAAATTCTTATCCCTGCAAGCCCCCAGCCCTCCCCCCACCCCCCACCCCCCACCCCCCAGGACAAAGACTAGAAACATTCACACCCGCACTCTTCCTAGAAGCCAAAAATTGGAAGCCGCCCAATGTCCTTAAATAGCACAGTCAAAGATGAATCACTTGGAACCTTCGTTCAATGGAATTCCATGCCGGAGTGAACATGAACTCACCGCGGCCTGGAATTTCTGCGAGACCGAAGCTGAGGACTGTCACCGTGGGTGGGAGGAAAGCAGGTCGTAGCAGACTGGGTGGAGCCGCCTCCTTCTCTTCAAAATCCAAAAGGGCCATGTGCTGGTATGCACGTGAGGCAGGAGCATAGAGCAAGCAGGCATGGAAAGGACGTTCAGGACAGTATTTAGGGGACGGCAGTGCTGGGGAAAGTCACACGGGGGATTCACAATTCCTGCTTATTTGTCCAGGACAGAGGGTGGGGACCGAATGGCATATTATAGCAGGGTTTTCAAAAAACGAATATTTATTGTATCACTGCTTTTATATCTACTCTTTCATAAAAACTTTTAAAAATGAGGCCTGGACCAGTGCGAACAGTGTGCTGCCGGAACAACCAAGCTGGGTCTTTGGCTCCTGCCTAGAAAGCCAGATACTACCATGAAGATTGTATACACACAGAGGAGTTCTGTTGGAGAGGGCCACCGAGGGAGTTGGCAGGATAGGCACCCCAAAATGACCGAGTGGCAGGAGTCTGGGATTTTAGAAGGGGTGAAGGGAAGTCAGCTTCACATGGGCAGGTCCGAGGAGGTGCTGGCAGCCTAGGTGACAAGTGTCAGGTGTGTGACCTTCCCAGGGTGTGTTCTTAGCAGTCGAAGATGTTTCTGAGGCCACTGTCAACCCAGGGGGACCCAGGGAATTTTATTAGGGATGTAACAATCAATTTTGCAAGTTCCCAGGATTCAGGTGGAGCCAGTTAGCAGAGGAGGGAAGAGGGGCTGCTATTTAGTGAGTCAACAGTTAGTCCTAGAGAGGGAATGCAGCTCAGTGGTTAGAGTTTAATTCAGTTTATTCCTGAATCTTTAGTCTAAGGGGACTTTTTTGTTGTTGCAAAATTAAGAGAATTCAACTCCACTACCTTTTGTATAAAAAAGGGATGTGTGGTCTCTCTTCTCTCTCATGTCAATGTATCCATGGAAAGTCACAGATAAACTGGTAAAACTGGTTGTCTCTGGAAGGAAAACTGGAACTCTGTAGATGGAGACTTTCTTGAATATTTAGAAGTTTGAATTACAAAATGTTTGAATTAAAATTGAGGGGAGCCAGTGAGGAAGGGACAAGGGAGGAAGAGGCCAGGAGGGGGAGAGGTGGTCAGGTTCTAGACACTAAGACCCCCAGGGTACCCCCGGCATCACCAGTACAGCCACCAGTCCAGAGCAGCTGCGTCCTTTTCCTCAGCTAGATCCTAGACCAGACCTTGTGCCTCAGGACAAAGCCCACTTCAAATAGCTGTACACGCAGACTCTGGCTCTGCAATCTTCTGTTTCCAGAGTTTTGTTTCCAAACAAGTCTCTCTCCGGTCTCTTTCCTGACCCTGCCTTCTTATCTCAGACCTTCACCCAACCAGTAATCGGAGTCATTCCTTTGAAGTTGCTTCAGTGTCTTCTTAGCCTCCACCCTCCATGACCGTGTGTGTGTCACCAAGGTCAGTCAACAGCAAGTGGGCCCTTTTTGTCCCCTTTAAAATCCTCCCCTCAAGGGCTCAGTGTCCTTTGCTATATACTGCGTCGTCAAAACTGGTGAGCACATTCTTAGCGCACCCTGGAATCCCAATAACTCAAAGGAAACTAAGGTCACTGGCAGGTCCCCAAGGAGGTGTGGTAAAGGAATGAAGCACATGGAAATGCTAGGCATCAGCTAGCGGGCAAGGATGGATCCACACAGGGGGTGCCTTCTGCCCTGCTGTACCCGGATTACTGAAGTGGAGGTGGCTTGGGTCTGTGCGAGAGAGGGGACACCCCTGAGGCGGGACTCAGGCCCCTAGATTGCAGTGGCCAGGGAGGGTGTGTCACTCCAAATGAGGAAATATCTTTATAACCATGTGACCACGGGGTACCCAGAGACCCCAAACTGTTATGGGGGGAAGCCCATTTTACATGTTCTAGGGGTCTGGTCATCTGTGTACACACAGGCAAAGAAAGCAGCTTTCAAAGACAGCTTTAATTGGTGTAAAAATTCAAAGGGGGGAGAGAGAGGGAGGAGAAAGGATTTCAAATAACCAACTCCTGATCAAACTCCAAAAATTTCCCATTCTCTGGTGGACAAAATGCTCAGCCAACAGGCTCAGCCAAAGTGGGGTGACAGGCCTGAAAAATTTCCCCACAAATCTAAGGCACTTTCTGAGGGGGAGCCATAAGAAAGGGGTTCGGCAGGACCCAGAGAACTGAGAGAGACCTGAAATTCAAAATGTACCATATAATCCAGCCTGAGGTCAAGATAATTGCCATTGTTTCTGCCTAGGACCAGCAGCAGCCTCCTCACTGTCTTTTCTCCAAGTGTTTCTCCCTCGTCCTTCCTTCTGCCTCCATGAATATAGCCACCTTGCTCCTTCCCAGTTTCCCCACCCCAACCTCCCATTCAGGAAGTCCATTTCATGGCATGCTGGGAATTGTAACCCAAGGCAGCTAAGTGGAAGTGTGGGTGGGGAAAATGGAGCCATTCCCAGGACCCACACCCCTCTGCCCTGTGATGCTCCTCCCCCTTTTGCAGGGATGCATTCTGTAACCCCTTACTCCCCAAAGAACCACCACAGGGAGCCGGGGGGCACCATCATATAGAGATGGGTGCTAGGAGAACATTCAGTCTGCAGCCTTTGCAGCACAAGTTCGATCCCCGGCCGGCTGGGAGCAATCCACATGGTGCAGCAGACCTCTCCTGGTTCACCCGCTGCTCCCCTCAGCAGTGTATTTCAGTAGATCTGCCTGTTCTGCTCCCCACTCTGTCTCTGGTGAATCCTTTCCCTTTACTTTCAAATGTTCCAGAGGGTATATTTCAAAATAGGAATTCATAAATGGGGACTTTAACCCCATTTTCCAAGTCTTGAATTGCTTCGTTCTCACCAAACGTGACATCTCCACCCACAACCCCTTCTGGGCCCCCTGCCTTGGTAGCCTTATACCTGCTTTTCAGAGTTGTCTGTGATGTTGTATAAATGTTTGTATATTGGGACCAAGGGTGTGTATCTTTGCACCCCCATAACATAATACAGATTTATCAGTATTTTCGAGGTGCTGTGTCAATGTTATATACCAAATTGAGAAATCTTACCTCGAGCAACTTCAACGACAAGAACTTCAAAGACCCTGTGGAGGTGATTGGGAGACCCCCGTATCCTCCAACTGAGAAAAGTAGAACTGCTTCCCTCCCCGCCCCAGCCAAGCACAGGAGCCAGGCAGGAACAGCGAGAACAGGATCAGGAAGTAGGGAAGTAGATGGGGCAAAGCTAGCTTAGGCCCAGCCACCCAGCAGTCTGTCCCTGGGAATCCCTCTTCCGCTCTGCTTCTGCTCAAGATGTTCCTTTCCGAAATGCTCACATCACAGGCACTGAGAAGGAAGCCTGGGACAGAACAGGCCAGCAGAGTCTTGAAGTGCTGTGGAGCCCACGAGGCAAGCTTTGGCCAGATCTTTGTCCCAGGAGTCTTGGCTGGCCAGCCATGGACAAATCTTTTCATCTTGCTAGTCTGTTTCCTTGACTGCAAAATGCAGACCAGATAGGCTCAAGGATTGCTCCCAGCTCTAAAAGGAGCTGGGCTCATGTTACACCTCTCTAAAGAACAGGGCCAGCAACAACGACATCATAATGAGGCACGAGCATCCTAGAATCCAGTTCTCCAAACTTGGTAAACACGTGCCGGGGAAGCCCAAGGGCCATGTCACCCATTGAAGGAGCAGCAGAGGCTCCGGAAGGATCAGAGCCACAGAGAAACAGGCCTGGGAAGGAAGGCTGGACCTTCCATAGCTCCCAGAAGGCAGTGCTGTTTGGAGGGACATGTCTGAGAGCTTCACACCCCCCACAGGGGTCCCACAAACAGAAGCAACCCTCCTGGCTGGCAGCCTGCAACAGCTAGACAACACCATTCTTAATGGGCTCTGGTCTTTGGAGGAGGGGTTGGGCTGGAGACTTTAGGAAGAGAGGGACAGGCCCCCATGGATGATACCAAACACAGCACAGCAGCCTCTGCCCATTACGACATTTATTTCTCAGAGAGAAAATAAGTTTCAGACAGTCATATTATAGTAGGTAAAATTAACTTTTGTATTCTTTACAAGCATAGATTTTTCTCTGTTTATTACCTCTCTTATACCATCTGTTATAAACAATTCTAGAAAGCAAATAAAGTCACTTTCTACAATAAATAGAGCATCGTGTGCTTCACAGCAGACGCGACTGAGACACGTAGGCCCCATGCCACAGCAGGATCTGAGTCGATTCCCGTTCTAAAAGAGCAGTTTGAAAAATGAGACTCAGAGAGATTCAAAGAGACTGGAAAAAAAAAAAAAGAGACTAAGAAAGTATTTGGGGGGTGGAGGGAAGAGATTGACACAGAAATAGAGTCCCGAGATCTTACAACACAGGTTGAGACGAAGGTCACAGAGTCCACAGCCGACCAACTACCTGGGGAGAGGGGGGCGCACCGGCTCCTTTAAATAAGCCACACTGTGCGCATTTAAAATACTCGGTCACACAATGGAGGACTCCAGTAATGGAAACTATAGGCCTGAATAATTTAGAACAGTATTTTACAATTATATACACCATGTCCTTCCCTAGCCATATGCTCTATTGTATTTTTATTATTGTACAAAATCCAAAACCCCATTCCTTTATGTTAAGAGTTTTGTTGGTTCCCTTTTAAACTCTGGCTCATGTCCCAAATGTATAAGAAGTTGTGGCGGTTGGCTGTATTTTTAAAAAGTCGAGAGTGTAAAAATGGCAGTGATCTCCCCCGTGACTTTGTTTTGTCCAAAACTCCCCTATGAAAATTTAAAATAATTAAAAAGAACATCAGGTTAAAAATCAACATGGCAATCAGCGGCCTGCAACCTGGCCCTGTGACTTTGGTGCATAAGAGGTGAAAAGAAACATCCAGAGAACAGACATGGAAGCCTCTGTAAGTTGTGTCGGTTTGTCAGTCAGCATTCCCTGTTTCACAGTTTTTTTTTCCTTCCATTTTCTGAGAAGGTGAAGGTGGGGAAGGAGTTGAAGGAAAAGAGGGAAGGGGCAGAGGAGGAGAAATAAAGCGCTGCATTCCCGGCATTTGGAAGCAGGCACAGTAGAGGCGGGCAGGGCGGGAAGATGGACGGGAAGATGCTGGGCCGTAGGCTCCACACCATCCGCGGTGGAGGACAGCGAGACTGAATCTGCACTTACTGAAGACAAGAGGAGGAGGGGACAGACCCGATTAAAGGTTGTGCTCCAATCCAACAACCCTCAACATCCGAGTGGACAGATGGACACAGGCACAACCAGCCTCATCTGCTGACAGGAGCCGGCCCAGCTTTAGTCCGCCTCTCAGCAAGACAGGGGGAGGGCAGGAGGGCCCAGCCTCAACCAAAGCGGTAAGCTCTCGCAGCCGAGCTGCAGCCATGTGTCTGCAGCAGTTGGGTAAGTGGGGCGGGGGGCAGTGGGGAGGGTTTGCTGGTGGAGGGGTCACCCGAGTGGTAGGCTGGCCTCTGGCCCTGGCCCTGAGAAGCCGGGCGGAGGCACCCACCTAGCATAGCAGCTGGCCTCAAAGGGAATGAGACATAAAAAGAAACAAGGACTAATTTGGTGATGGTTTCTGTCAGTTTGGCACAAGAGAAAGTAAGGAAAGGAACATGGGAGAGAGACCAGGAGAGGTGCAGAGGATGGGACAGGGAAGAGGTGTGGGAATGGGTGATGGAGGGGAGAGGGTGAGCTCAGTGAGATTTCCCGCAGGACTGAGTATATCCACAGCACCTCTGGGATCAGTGTCAGAGCCTCGCTCGCTCGCTCACCCTGAGGTGTAGTTAGTTGGGAGTGGGGTGGAGCGGGCCAGGCACACCCTTGAGATAGAGCCCTGGACCTCCTGCCTTCTGAGGCCAGGTACACCTCTTGGGTGGGCCCAAGCCGTACCACTGTTTCTACTTCTAACTGGTTCTTCAGTGAATTAGTCCCTAAGGGAGCTCAGGTGGGAGTTTTTGGCACACAGCAGGCCCGCCAGGAAAGCCATGCAGTGGGTCAAAACTGGGGCTTGCCCTTAGTGAGGACACAGCCCAGCAGAGCCTGGCCTTCGGTGAAAGGGGGAAGCTGCTGTCCATGCATCTGGCAGGAAGAGGCTTCTCCATGCCCCGTGGACAGAGGCAGGGCAGGCAGATGCAGGCCAGGCTCCCTCTTACAGGTAGCTAGAGGTGACAAAGGAGTGGGGTCCCCGGACGCGGCTCAGGTGGATCATTGCTCGGTCGTAGGCCACCTGCACAGACTTGCGGATGCTTGTCTTGCGGCCTTCTAGCATCTTGAGCTTGTCCACCGTGTCTTCCACACCCAGGGGCAGGACTTTGTCTCTTGGGAGCCACTGCCTAAAATACAAGCATAGTAACAGGTCTGGGCTATGGTGAGTCTCACAAGAGGGTTCTTCTTGGCACACTTGTCCAGGACCAGCGAAGTCGGGGGGGGGGGGGGGCGGGGAGGGACAGGTTAGAGAGAAGCAGACTTAGACAGCGCAGGCAGTAGGCCTTTGAGGGACCTGTTTTGCAGCCAGGCCATTTCCTGGATGTCTTGGTAGCTCACTGTGCTTAGTGGGTTGTCAGGAACCTGGAGGGCCACGTGCCACTCTCTGGGACCAGCTAAGCTGTCTGGAGAGCTCTGGGCCCTCCTTTGGGGAATAGGGAGCTATAGTTCGGAAGTAATGCTAATGCCAAGAACTGATAAATTGATCTCTAGTGAGGCGTGCAGCTCATGTGTTTTTTTTTTTTTTTTTTTTTTTTTAAGATCCCCTGGTAAATCTAGAATGTGGCTAAGAGCCAGCCTTTGGAGCTAGAGCTAGGTTTTATCCCATTTTTGGCTACAGGGTCTTGGTTTTCTGAGCCTCAGCTTCCTCATCTGCAGAACTGGGTGGGGATTAATGAAGATTTAAATGAGGATTAAATGTGATCACCTATATAAGGCAATTTGCATAAGGACACTAGTAAACAGTAAGTGGTAACTATTATTCCTATTACTACCTTTATGAGCTAGTCCTACCTTCTCATATTCCATACACACAGGTAACAGAACTTAACTGATGGTTCTAAGAGAAAATTTAAGGTGTTCACAAACCACCCCAAGATTGAGATGTGCACTCCCATAATAACTGGGAGTGTTGGCAGCTGAGAGGCTCACATGGGGATACAAAGGCACATCTGCTATTCCTGAGACATCTAATAAGCACCCAGTTCCAGAGTTCTCCATAGAGGATCAGCTGAGGCCTCTGTACCAAGTGCTACAACTTAACTTCCAAGTTGCATCCCTCACCCCCACACTTCTCATTAAGTCTTCTGATACAACTCTCTATCTCAGAAAGTTTCCCAAGAAATCTGATCTGTGACACCCCTCAGTTTCTATTAATCAGTGTTATTAGCAACACTAAGTTACCACTAACATGGCAAGTGCAGGCCAGATGCTGGCAGGTAATGCCTCACTTCACCAGGGTGAAGGTAGGTGACTGAGCCCGAAGCTTCTGGGTACCTCTCAAGAACATCATCATTTGCACAGCCTCCTGGTTGGCCTCTCAGCCTGCATGCTGCACTCCCCAGCAGCAGTGCCACTCACCAGGTGCGCTTGTTGTCAAAGAAGAGGACAAGGAAGAGCTTCTCTCCAACCTCGGCCTGTCTCTGCTCTCCCAGCTTCAGCACATCCAGTGGGGGGACAGGGATGGGGACGCCATTGTGCAGGAGGCCCTCCCGCGGCATCTTGGGATCGATGATCTGGAGGCAGAAGGGAGATGGCATTCAGCTGGGAGTGGACGGGTGAGTAGGTGGTCTACCCCAGAACCAACAGCTGAACTACCCCACACCAAAGCTATGCAGGGGCCGGGCCCTGTTTACAACCAAGTGATGGATGAGCTGACCTCTTCCATGACCTCAGTATCCCAAAATGGAAAGCTTGACTGTTTCCTAGTTCACTGTCCTAATCCTCTGGCTCTGCCCAACCATGTTTTCCTGATTAGGAAGCTTGTTCCATGAATTGTCAGGCCCTGGAGCTGAAGCAGAAGTAATGAGAAGCCAGCAATAAGGGTGTCCAAACTGAGTGGGGTGCTTGTGATATCCAGGCCTGATTAGTAAATTCCTTCCCAATGTCCCTTTTGGGAGAAGAATGAAGGCCATTTTTTCCCCTATCAACTTCCACTTAGAATCTCTGCAATTCACTTCAAATGCTCAGGGTCCTTCCTTTACAGCGCAGCTATGAAGAAGGTTCTGCATCAGCAAGAGCGCCCATCTCTTTTGGCTGTACCTATCAAAGCCTCTGACCATTCTGTCTGACTATAATCTTTCCTGGAAACATGGACCAGATATATCTGTGACTCCACATGGTAAGATCAGTGAGAAGTTAGAAGACCGAGCTTGGAGGATCGCTGGAAAGAGAATGATGTGGCTGGAAACAACTGCAGGTGGAGGAATTAATCCTCAAGGCTGCACATGCCACAAGGCAGGGGAGCTCAGCAACCTTGGTGGTACCAACACAACAATAATTCTCTAAACCTATGGAGCACTGACAAAGTTACCAAAGTTCTTAATTATTCACACATCATCCTCTTATTTCATTCTCTTGCTGATGCTGAGAAGTCTGCAACAGGCATTTCCTGATAGAAGAAAATGCCTAGCACAGAAGGAAGCAGTTGGCTGAGCCCAAGGTTGGAACGCCTGGACAAGGCGTAGGCCTCTGCTGCCTGCTGCCTCCTACACAGCCTCTGGCTGATAATAATCTCTATGCACTAAGGCCAGAGAGACTTGGAAACTTACTGAGGAAGCATTTTCTCCAGAGACGGTGCAATCTTAATTCCTATACCCTGTCCCAGGGGGCCTCTTCGCATAATAAACTGCTCTCATTATTTAACTTTGGGTGTGTGCCAGCTTCCCTACATTCCTCTCAAGATAGCAGCCAAAAGCAGGTGTTCTGGTTAAAAATTTAAGGAACAACCATCCCTACCCTGCTCCCAGCTGTGAGTTTGGTCAAAACTCTTCTCTTCCAGCCTCTGTTCCTCTTGTGACTGAAATCGAGTCCTAATGAGAATCACCATAGAAGCTCTCCTGCATTTCAATTACTGAACAAGACAGTGAAGTGACGCTGTTATGTTTCCTCTTGGCTAAACAATGCTAGTTTCCTGTCTCAGAAAGTAAGGTAGATTATGAAAAATGCGCTCACTCTCCTTCCATTGCCTCCCCCACCAAAAGCAGAAACAAGGTGAGTGCTACAAACCAGAGCTGTACTGGTAAGATCAGCAGTACCAGGAGCTCTACTCCCTTTTAAAGAAGACAGAGGCAAATGTGTCCTAAAATAATACACAATGGTCCATTCACTCAATGAATGTTATGCAGATGTAAAACATGGAAATAAAGTTTGCAATAAAATTTAACATATAATAAATGCTTACATTATTATCACAGCGAAGTATATAAACAATAAATAGAAGGAATGATACACAATGCTTACAATTGACATGTTAGAAAGGTAAGGTTTGTGTTGCTTTTCTCTAGTTTTCCAAAACTTCTATAATGCAAATAATTGACTTTTATAGAAAAGTTTTTTTTTAAAAGAAAAAAAATGATTAAAAACTGTGTATTCAGTATGAATGCAAGAACATATATAAGTATGCATAGGAAAACAATTAGGGCAGCATAAGCCAAATAAAACAGCTTGCATTCTGGTAGTAATTAAATTTCTTTATTCACAAAAGAAAATGTATACTTAACATCATCATTAAAAAGAAAGAAAGAAAGAAAAAAAGACCAGTTTTAGACTCGCTCTCTTGCTCTGTAAGAGTTTTAAAAACCAAAACCAAGACCTGCACAGCCTCAGTCCCTTCTTCGGTGCCAGCCTAGGCGGGATGTCTCACTACAGCAGCGCATGTAGCCTGATAAAGGCTGCCACAGGCCCAAGCAATCACAGTAAGATTTCCCCACCGGATATGGATGAAGAATTGAGGCCGGCTGGGCAAAAAGAGCTCTAGCAAGTCACAGAACTCTTGGAGTTGTGGTTTCCTCATCAGTCCAAAAAGAATTAAGAGTTCCTGCCCTCCTGACCTGAACAGGCTGCTGTTAGACTTGAAAGAACCAGATATGAAGGAAATGGGAGAAGCCAGCGCTGTGTGTGCATACATAAGGTTAGTGGGGCAGTGCTCAACTGTGGTTACTTATCACCCAGAAGCTTTGAGAAACTATTCATGCCTCGCTCTGGTCGCAGAAAGTCTAACTGGGTGGTTCTAAGATGGGGACTTAGTTTCTACATTGTTCTAGAAATTTCCCCAGATGGCTCTGAATTGTCCCAAAGGTTTGAATTAGCATCTTCCAGGACCAGTTGTATATTACCTCCCCAATACAGAAAGAGCTCTAAGAAAAGACCCTCAAAATGATAAAAATAGAATTTTTAGCTACTACTACTACTACTACTACTACTACTACGGAAAAATGGAAATTTTAGTTACTGCTGGTGGAAGTAGAAGCTGGAACCAAGTTTCTAAAGGGCAACTTAGTGATTTGTGTCAGAATTTTGCAAGTACTTTGCCCCAAGAATGGACTCCTAAGAATTCACTGTAAAGAAATAATCACGGATGTACACAACAGTAAAGATACCATGATGTTTCACTGCTGGCTGTTTATTATAATGAAAAATTCAAAATAATGTAAGACAACCAACTGGAGAATGGTAAAAATAAGGTACATACAAGCAAGTGGACACAACGCAGTCATTAAGGTAACACTGAAGAATGTTTAATGGCATTTGACATGCATGTTCATGGTATGCTTAAATGAAAGGGAGGTTAGAGGGCAGTCTCATGTATATGCACATCTATGCATTAAACAAAAAAGGCAGCTGAGTGGATATACACCAAGAGCTTATCTCCGAATAGACTAGATAGATAAGACTGTGGATGATTTTGAACTCCGTGGCTCAGAACACAGGCTTTGACATCACACTTTTTGAAAAGCCCTGGACTCAAATTCCAGCCCTGTAACTTAACAGCTAGATGGCCATGGGTACAGTCTTACTTTCTTCCCTACAAAATGAGAATAACCATACCTTCCTCAGTATTTAAAGAACTTAAGGTGACAGATGTTTAATAAAACATCTAAGCATTTTTTGCAGTTTTTAGAATTCTCTGCGAAGAGTACATAGTACTTTCATGCATAAGCAAATAAATAAATGCTATTAAATCCCTAAGAGCTGTAGTCTCTGTCTGCAGACTTTAGCCTATTAGAGGTATCGGAAGCTGGGAGCCTTGCTAGTCTGACCCACCCAGGCTGGGGTAAAACCTCCCTCCCTTTGGTAGTCAAAAGCACCTGGACCCCACCACAGTCTGCCGGCTTGATCCAATCAGATAAGCCCCCGAGGCAAGGCAGGGGCCAAAACCGCCCAGAGGAGGGAGGAGGGTGGCGTCTGGGGCAGACTCACCAAGGCAGGGTAGGAAGGATAGCCTCGGCACTTGGCCCACACCAGCTCCAGGGGCTCCAGGTCTCCGCGGTCTTCAAAGGGCATCAGGAGGCTTCTGCCTGGGGGTGGGGGAGGGGGGAAGACAGTGCCCAAAGGGGACTTGGAATGGTGCCCAGGAGGCCTGCCTGTAGCCTCCATTTAACTGGGGCAGCCCAGGAATGAGTCAGCGACATCCCCTCCACCCTTCATCTTCCCTGCCCTTTCCTTAGAAGTTCTTAGACTAGATCAGAAGTTGGCAAACTTGTTCTATAAAGGGCCAAATAGCAAATACTTTAGGTTTTATAGGCCACATGGTCTCTGTTGCAACTAATGCTGCACATTGGTATCTGGAGTTGGTTCTAGGAATCTACCAGATACCAAAATTTGCACATGATTAAGTACCTTATACCAGATGGCACAGAATGTGCATATAACTTTCTGTACATTCTCCTGTACGATTTGAATCACCTCTATGTAATCAATATCTGTATATAATACCTAGAATAACACAAATGCTACAAAACTTTTTACATACTGTATTGTTTAGGGAATAATGACAAGAAGAAAGGTTTGCTCATGTTCAGGACAGATAAAACTATCATAGACCTATCAACATAGTTTACATTGTTGATGAGATTGGTTGAATCTACAAATACACAGCCCAATAATACAGAGGGCCGACTGTACTCAAGTCTGCTGTTGCAGCATGAAAGCAGCCATAGATAACCCATAAAGGAATAATCATGCTGTGTCCCAATAAAACTTTATTTTTGGACCCTGAAATTTGAATCTTACATAATTTTCATGTGAGAAATTTCACAGAAAATATAGTTCTTTTGGCTTTATTTTTATCATTTGAAAATTCAAACACCATTCTTGGTTTATGGGCCCTACAAAAATAGTCAACAGGCTACAGTTTGCCGACCTCTGGACTAGAACCCTAAAATGGTGCTCCTTGGAAAACTGAACTGCATCATCATCAGGGCCCCATGGAGAAGGACCAAAACCCAGCCTGGCAAAGCCACAGACTACTCTCTGGGCCTCCCTGAGCAGGGAAACCTCATGATGGAGGCTTCATGGGAAAAGATGGCTGGGAAGGACATCCCAGTATACCCACTTGCTAAATAAAGTATTTTTTGACAGGACCACACCTAGTCGTCAGGTTACCGGATGCATAGCATTCAGCAGAGCTAAGCAGGTCGCAGGTTCTTCACAAGCCTGCTTCTTGTCAGAACCTTACACTAAATGCCCCACCTGGGGCAGGGATTCCACTTTTCAGCTTACTCTATTCTGTACCCAATGCACTAGCACACAGGTATGGGTGCTTCAGAAATGCTTCTGAACATACAGGGACACCTGCCTTCCCTTCCCTGTGCCTATAAACTGGGAATGGGGAGGTGATCACACTCAATCAAGGAAAATGGCCCAAATCCCAGAGTAGAAGTCATGTTTCTAAGGAAACATCACTACTCTCATTTATAATTTTAAAGAAAATGTACTAAAATAATAATGAGGTATTGTCTTACGCCTATTAAGTCATTAGTGGTAGTGGTAGTGGGGGACTGGTGCTGAGGAAATTACAGATCAGTCCTAGCCTTTCAGAATATAATTTGGTAGTATGTCTCAAGAGCCATAAAAAATTATATGAACCATCTGCTCCAGTAAATTCCTTCCCTGGGAATTTATTCTAAGAAAAGTAACTTCAATGTCTAATAATAGAATGATTAAGTAAATTTTAATACATTGATTAGAAGATATATTGTTTCAGTAACAAGATATATGAAGGTTGTATGTCAACACGAAAAGAGTATGATAACATTGAAAAAAAGGAGAATATGAAAGAGCAAGTGTTTTGGATTAGTGTATTGTTAAAATGTGCCTGAAATAAACAGAAGTCAATATACAGAGAAATGAAGACAACTATGTTGAGGTGATGGGACAGTGAGAAGTCAATTTCCTTTAGCATTATTTTAGCAAGTGCATGGTTTTAAAAATAAGGATAAAATGTATTGGCACAAAGTATATGTGCTAGTCTGCTTTCAGTTTTGTGCAAGTTGTACAAACTCACCTAGACATGAAGCCCACATTCTGGGCACCGATAGTCAGATAGTAATGAAACACACATTCGTCAACACACATACGAGAAAGAAACTGGTGCTAAGGGAAAATAAAACAATTGAACAAAGGAAAGGGGAGAAGAGATACCCTGAAGTCTATGAAATTTGTGTGTTAGCTGGAAGTGCCAAAGACAGGGTATCCAGAGTGCACACCCATCAAGGGAGGGCTAGACACAGATGCACTCAGAGAACAGCCCGCTCTGCACCATCTCCACCTAACACCACCCTGTCTCTCCCTTGGTCCAAGGAGACAAGACCTATGTCATTCTACCACTTGGATCAGATATAGTAGAACATTTCTTGAGGAGAAGGCTGAAAGCACTGGATTGCATGAAATGACCGGGTTATGTGTGAGATTCAGTGCTACAGGCTATCACGGGTTATTCCAGTGAGGGCAGGCCGGCAGTTAGTATCTATCGAAATTACAAAACACACTTCCTTCAATACAACAACCCCACTTCCATAATCCCCATGGACACAAAATGATCTCTGTATAAGGTTGCTCAGTGCATCTTGATTATAACAAATAAATGAAAACAATCTAAACACCCATCTGTGGAGGGCTGGCTAAGTAAATGATGATACTCCTATGTAATGAATGGGGCATTAGGCAACTGACCAAGAGCACAGCAGCTCTTCACGATTTATTAATAACTGAAAAAATGGCATGGTTTAGAGGAGGGTGTATATTAGACTTCCCAACTTGTTCTCTTAAATATACATACAAATTTTAGCTTGTGTATGTATGGATTACACCGAGAAAGACACAAAAAAAAAACCTGCTAACAATGGTTGCTCCAGGGAGGCAAGTGCTGGCTTTTCATTATTGTACTTTTTTGTTTGTTACCATAGTTATGTATTATCTATTCAAATGTACGATGAATTTTAAAAAAGGAGGAATGGCATGGGAGTGATACCCTTTTCCCTGCTCAAGAGTTGGAGGAGCTCAGGAGCTGGCTTTGGAAGGCCTTAGCCACACCCCCACTTTCCTGCCTCCCCAAATCCACCTGTACACCACTCCTCACCTGAGCTACTGTAGTCAGAGTCTCCATTCACACCTTCCAGGAAGGGCACTCGAGACAAGGCTGGCTTCCCACGGCTACGTTTAGGGGGTGTCAGACCACTGCATACACAATAGGGAAGGAAGAGAGGGGCAAAATGAGCGACTTCAATGACTAAGATGCCAATGCCTGCTCTCCCATAGCTGATAGTAGTAGAGTTGCTGAAGTCCTTCAAGAACAATGGTTTCTCATCTTCTCTTAAAAATTCGTACTAACCCATGACCCACTCTGACCACAAAGTTGCTATGAGGCTTTGAGAACAACCATTTCATCTACATGGCAGGACTGAATCTGGAAGCAGCAGCCTTCTCTCTTGCCTGGGGACCTTGGAATTCATCCAGAGGAAAGAAAGGTCATGCCCGGTACTCGTCAATCCTTCCAGAGTCTAAGCAGTATAGCTATGAGGTGTTGTGGCTATCTGACATCTGCCCAGATTTCTACCCTTGGTTCACACTGCTGCTTCTTCAGAAACCAATTTATTTTTGCAGTACAAAAATTTGCCTCTTTCCCAATTTTTCTATAAAGGATTTGTCTTACTTCCTTAATTAGAAAAGACATTTTTAGGCTCGGAAAAAATTCACTTCTCACTTCCACTTCGTGTGTGAAGTTTTTCTTAGATAGAGATGGATTTTTTTAAGTAACAAATAGAACAATTTTTTATAAGGCTATTGCAAGGAAGTAAAACAAATATATATTAGACAAAAGCTAGATAGTAATAAATAGCTCTTTTTGCAATTCTTTTTTAAATAGCTCTTAATGCAATTCTAATGTATAGTCATAGCTGGGAGCCTCTAAGCAAGAATGGTGCTCTTTTCATCCAAACTTTGAAAGTATTACTGCTATGTAATTTTTTTCAGCTTAAAAGACAGGTCAACAATCTGCAGCAAAGCAAAAATGCTTAAAAAACTGTTGGTGGGGTAAGAAGAGGCCATGTTAGGACTGGTTGGAGAGTAGGGAACTGTTTTACTGAATCCTAACTGACTTTATCATGTTGCTATACAGATAATCTTGCACAACCAGAACCCAATGAAAACGAATCATAGCCCTTCCGTATCCAGTAGTCGTATAGTCAAAATTAGGATTTATTTGGGGAAAAAAATAAATAACACCCACCCATAGCTTTATATTTAAGATTCAATTCCCACTCACACCATTAAAATCTGTTACTTGGCCTAAAGACTCTTAGGCTGTTTACAAAAGGTGCTAATAGCTTTACAAGGAAAACCTCTCAGTTTATACCATGGATCAGGAGGGACAGCTTCAAATATAATAGAAAAGGACACAGCTAAGTGGCTAATAGAAATCTCTGAAGACAAACTACCAGGGTTCATAACCTGGCTCTTCTACTCATTAGTTCATTCTGTGACACTGAGCAAGTTACTTTACTTCTTGAAGTATGTATCCTCCCATGTGTTGCTGTGAGGACTTAATGGATTCAGACGCAGAAAACAGTCAGTACTGCATGTACCAAGTACTCAATAAACAACAGTTACTTATCACTATTATTATATGAAGGGCAGTCAATTTTAATGTTTCACTTTAAATATTACAATCTACTGTTGTATTATCAAATGAAGAACTCTGAGATGAGCTGAACAGAACATCAAACTCTGTCGGTGTGTCCCTATTTCATAGAAAGAAGTGTGAGTGACTTGCTCATGGCCTGCATTTCAGTCCTCTTCTAAGTTACCCAGGCCAATCTACAATTATTTTTATTTCATCTCTAGCCTCTAGAAGATAAGGTCCCTAAGAACAGACACCTAAACAGTGCCTGGCTCACAGTAGGTGCTCAATGATTAATATTTGGCTGAGTGAGCCACAGTCCTAAACTGCTCAGAAAATCATCTGAAGAGAGGGCCTCCCCGGTGGCGCAGCAGTTGAGCCCTGGGCTGCGAAGCTGCCCGCAGCCTCTGTAGCGCCCGTTCGATCCCTGGCCGTTGGCGAGGGTCCCACATGGCGCGACAGACCTCTCCTGCCGTGCCCGCTGCTCCCCTCAGCTGTGTACTTCATTCCTTCTGCCTGTTCTGCTCCCCGCTCCGGCTCTGGTGAATTCTCTCACCTTCTTCTGCTTCTGACTGCACCCCAGTGCTTGTATAAATAAATAAATAAATCTCAAAAAAAAAATTAAAAAATAAATCATCCGAAGAGATAAACGAAGGGGCAGGTGGGGAGTCAGCACTCTTGATCAGACATTCTTTCAAGGTTCTTTTTAACTCTGGGATTATGATTTCAATCTAATAAATAACTTCCTTTATGTACTTAAATCACCACAGTGTAGGAGGAAAAAATGCTACAGGAAAAAAACAAAACCTGTAGTGAGAGCCCTTGAACCACCCTATTTTAAACTCTGGATTTCTGCTAAGAACCACCAAGTTGAAGAGGAAATGTATTGTTCCAACATCCAGCAGGGTCCCAGAGAAATCAATGGCATTGGCCTGGAATTCTGCAGGAAGGTAAACACATCGCCTGAATTGGAGGTTAACCAGAAACTGGTCTGTCTTACTTTCTGTGGCTCATAGCTAAGGACACTCTTCATGGAGGAAAACCCCAACACACCTTCCACCTTTATTCAGGAGCCAGAAAGGGAGAGTTGGCAATCCCACTCGCAAAAAACCTGGGTTTCCAAGCACCCTATCTTTGAAGAAAGTCAGGAACCCTGATCCAGGACCAGGCTGGAAGCACCTTCTAAGAGTCTAAAGGCTTCTTTTCCATACCTGCTGTTTTTTTTTTCCCCATCTAGTCTCCCTTTATCTCTAGAGGTAGCAGCATGAAGGGAAAAAGCTAGGTAGTTCCGGGGAGGAGTAGGGAAGAAGGTCTCAAAGCATCACTGAAAGCTGGTCTCTGCCACAGTAGGGAACTAAAGGGTAATGGTGACCTCCTGGAGCCCCTGCAGAAACCCCACAGCCAGGGCAGAGTGAGTATCTAACAGAGGGTGCAGCCCACGTACCTTAGGAGTGCTTCAAATTTAGTCTTTTGGTGGCACCTTACACCTTCCCACCCTACTCTGAACCCTGGAGTCATCCAGCAGTCATGTGGAAGAACCATGAGGACATCTTAAGAATAATTTTTTTTTTCCTATGTGAAAATGGGCCTCTCATTTCCAAAAGTCCCCATGCTCCCTGGAGTCTCACAGAGCGCAGAGATCAGAGCAGGGATTCAACAGACTCTTGGACTTATAAGGTTCTGATTGCAAGATCTTGCCTTCAAGTAAAAGAATGGGAAAAGAAATACATCCCTCCGCAGCTCAAGGATGGAGAGATGGGGCCTTCTTGTCTGAATAAAAGACTATTTTGTCTTTTACTACTTCTTCATTTCTCATTCCCATTCCACACCTGCAAAAAGGCCATTGCTAAGATACTCCAAAAGGCAAAGGGTGAAACCAAGTCTGTAATAAGCTGGGTTATCTGCTGGGGGTGGGGGTGGGGTTTGGTGGTGGGGAATGTGGCTCACATGTTAACTTCACCAGGCAAGAGATTTGGCTGTCCCCACCTCTGGGAACAAATTCAGCTCCACAAACCCTGTGAAGCATCAGTGCCACTCCTCCCTTTCTAGTCAAAGCAGACCTGAGAGTCAAGGGTCACACAGTTTCTTAGGAGCCCCCAGAGTTACAGGCCGGAGGCCTCAGAAAGTAAGGGTCAGGGAAGAAAACAAAAACCAAGATAAGCAGAAGAGATTCAATCTATAGCTGAACTGAAAATACAGGCAGGGCTGCCAACAATACGTTGGGGACAAGTGTTCTTACCTGCAAGCTTCAAATGCCAGTCCACCACTGAGACCCAAACTACATTCCGAGTCAGACCCGCTTTCAGTGTGTTTTCCAAAGCCATTGGTCACACCTGCCAAGGACATACAGAGTGAGTCTGATGTAGAAACCTTCCTCCGGACATATGCTGCAATGAGGCAGTCGCCTCACCTCAGTGAGGGGGTTGGGGGAGGGGGGTAGCTATTCTTTCCCTTGTGGGAGGTGGGTCTTGGGTAGTAGAGAGAAAACTTGGTAATGGTTTGGGGGGGAATATTATTGGCTAGGGTAGTGAACAGATACTGCATTTCCCTCCCATCCTTCCGGTTTTACTTCAGTGAAAACACAGTACAGAGTAGACTTAGCTATGAAAGGAAATACTAAGACTCCCACTAGCTCTCAAGTCCCTGAATCTGCTTCTAATTTCAAGTCTCAATTATCAGGGAGTCTCTTCTTGGGGAGCCCACCCATCTTGCCTCTTCAGATAAACACACACCAATCTATCACACAACTGGCAACAGCTAGCTTCATTCTTTTAGGATGGTGTCAGGGGAGGTTGGGGCAGGATAAGGGCCATGTCAACCACACCCTGAGATATCCAGCAGGGCTAGTCAGAGTTGAGAATGGGGGGTGAGGGAGAACTCAGTAGAACTGAAGCCCTCAAGACCTTCCTGGGATGGGAGTCAAAATTCCCAGGATTCTAGACTGGGCTCCGATATACAAGCCCCTTTTCCTCTGTAAACCTTGGCTTCTCATTTTGTGAAGTGAAGATAATACCTTCTCACTTGTAAAAGACACTATTAAGTATGAATGAGAGAAGGTCTATTTACAGCAGGGAGACTTTCAGCGGCAAATGAAGACTGTCTGGTCACCCCAGGAACATGATTCTCAACTGCTGTGAAGGCTTCAACTCTCCTTTCCATCAATCCAATCCTTTACTACAATCCAGAGTCATAGAAGCCTGAGAATTAAGCCAAGAGCTCCAAAGCTTTAAGTCATAGACACCTTAGCCGGAAAACGATGAGGCAAGTCACACGTGTAAGAACACTGATCCAAGACAAGATACCTGACTCTGACCTGGCTGTGCCTCTAACATGACCTCAATTTTAATTGCCAGAGCCAGCTGTGCCTCGGGTGCCTCATCTGTAAAGTATCAACAGCTGTTTTTGTGAGCCTCATTAAGGTGGAGCAGTGTTCCTGGGTGCCAAGCAGCTGGGACACTAGGGGGAGAAACAGATTCCAGCAGTATTTTCAAGCAGTAGGCCCTCTCAGGTTGGATGAGGCTGATTCCAGATCTATTTCCTGATATCAGGATTTTTCAGTTTTAGTGCAGTATTCTCAGTACTGCTTGGCTGTGCCTGATACAGATGCAAGGATGACAAGAACCACTGCCATCTACTGCTATGTGCCAAATGCTTTATATGGGTTGTTTCCAATACTTGGAGCCCAACCAGGTAGGTATCACTAGGCCCATATTAGAAATAGGTAACAGAGTCAGAAAGGTTAATTAATTTGCCCAGGATACATAGCTGGTAGAAGATAGGATATGAACTCAGGTTTGCTTGACTAGGTCTTTTGATTCTATATACCAACCTACTGCCCAAATACAGTGAAGCTTGGACAGATGGGAAGGGAAGGTTTTGCTGTAAACAAAGTGTCAGGAAGAAAGACAGAAGAGCATGTGCTGGACACAGCGCCCAAAGTCCCCATATGAAAGGACATGAGAGGAAAATGAGGAGCAAAAGCCAGGAGGCCCCCTCCCTGCCAAGCAAGCTGGCCTTCCTTATCTCACCAAGATTAAACTATTATGTCTGCCAATGAAGGCCCTACACAGCCAAGCCCATCTTCTCCATCCAGCCTTGGCTCCTGACACTCCAGGAAGCGCCTGGTCAAACTGTCCCTTACAGGAACTCTGTCCTCCTTGTTCCCATACCTGGCCCTGAGCTCTTCACTCCATCTGCTCCTTTCTAGTCTGCCTTCATTCCCTAAAGCCAGCTTAGGCACAGTCTCCTCCAAAGGGCCTTCCCAACTCCAGCTCACAGTCCCTAAACACCTCCAGTAGTGCTGTCACCTGAGACAGAGCCACATGCTGTGTAGCACTGTGACATCTCTGCACCTTGGGAGACCACCTAGTCTTCCACTGCCCTGTGAGCTCTTCCCTAGTTGGAACTGAATCGGATTTATTTTATCACCTAACAGTGACTAGCTGGTGCTGGATAATAGTAAGGATTCCTTAGTGATCAAGCCCCAACTACCTAGCTCAGTTATTTATCACCTCCTGGTTCACACTGCTGCAATTACACGGAATCCCTCACTGTCCCTCAGACACGCTAGCACGCTCCCGCCTCCAAGGCCTGTGCACTTGCAAGTCTTTGTCTATCCTTTAGGAAAAGTTCCTCCTCCAAACACACAAATAGTTCCTATCTCCAACTCCTTCAGATCTATACTCAAATATCACCTCCTCAGAGGCCTTTCCTGGCCATCCTTCTTCATTAACACTTCAGTATACCCTCACCCCTTCTCTGCTGGATTTTTTTCCACAGCCTCTAATACAAGAAACATTTTACTCATACTCATTTGCTTTTAGTATATCTCCCCTATAAGGGAGAAGGAGGCTTGTGTCTGTTTTGTTCATTGATTTTGCTCCCCCGGTGCCTAAAATAAATGCCACACACACACACACACACACACACGTGTATATATATACATTTTATATATATATACATTATATATATATATGAGATGAATAAATGAACTAAAATGAAGGCAGGGACCATTTTCTCATATACCGCTTTATATTCCCCTCAGGACCAAAGAGAGCCCTAGATACAACTCGTCATCTCAAAGCACTTGTTCAAAGCCTATTTTCCCCAGGCCACACCACTCAGTGTGCCAGACCCAACTATGAGCTATGGAGCTCTTAATGCTACTATTGGTAACCACAGGGTCCATTGGGGAGGTGGCCAACTGGGGGAGATGCCAGCTGGTACAGCAAAGCAAGAAAGGAGATGAGAAGTAGTGAGAGAAGTCACAGGCAGGGTCACCTGTCTCTTCCTCTTGCTCGGGGGACCTCTCCCCTTCACTCTCACTACAGCTCCTGCTCCTCGGCCGCTTCCTGGAATGCTGCTCATCCTCAATGCTGGCGGGTGAGGCAGGAGAGCCCACTGCACCATGGTCCTCGCCGTTCTCCAGGGCCCCATCTGGGCTCCTCTGTAGCTTAACCCCATTCTTGGCCTTCTTGAAGAGGACTGATGTGCGGCGGCCCACACCACTGAGCGGGGCACCAGGAGGGGAATCGGAGGCCATGAGGGACAGTCTGTTGATGCCATTATCACTCAGCAGGCGTTGCAAGGGCTCGCTCCCTAGCTGCATTGGTGATTTTTCCAAAAGTTCATCTTCTTCCACCTTTCTGGGCTTTAGGAATCGGCTTGGAGGTTTGCTGTCATCGATGGGTTTCAGAGTGGGGGGCTCTGGAGGGGATTCTTGCTCAGACAAGGAAGGTGCAGGTCCAGTGGGCTCAAGGGTGGGTGGGGCAGGCAGTTTGGAGTCATCTGTTAAAGAAAAAGAGAACCTGCTTCAACATTTTAGAAAAAGTCTTCCCCTGTCAGTCAGATATTGACCCTAATACCAAGAACTAAAGAGGAGAAGTTCAGATGCACCCTAGGTATTAGGTCTGAGGCAAAGAGAACATAGCGCTTAGTTTTATCAACGCTGATTTTCTCACCCTTAGCTTTGTATCAGTATCACTTAGGAAGTTTCTTAAAAATTCGAATGCCAAGGTCCCATCCCAGGCCAAGTAAAATCAAATCTCTAAAGATATTAAAAAAAAAAAAAAATTTACCACATAAGTCTGATAAAGTAAGGGTTTCAAACCATTACCCTACACCCGAAAAAGTCAAAACCACCTGTTTAATCAATAATTAGGTTAAGTCTCAGTTCTGCAGATTAGGTCTACAACTCTCAATGGATGCAAGTGTTTTCCCATCTATCAGTGTATTTTGTTTCTTATCACCCAAGTAAAGCAAGCAGGACAAACAAAGAGCAAGTTTACAAATGTGGAAATGGGGGGGTGGGGAGGGGCGAAAGGGGAGGAACCAAGTAAATTAAATCATTGGTTCTCAAAAATGTTCACTATGGTCTTGAATTTAAATACCGAGACTTCCAAGCCACCATCCAAAATTTGCCTAACCTGAATCTCTGAGGGGTCAGGCCTGGGAATTTGGTTTGAAACCCTCCAAGTGAAACTGCTACAGACAGTGCGCTGCCACCACTCCAGAGTGAGATACTGCCACACACAAAGTCTCCAAATGCCAAATGTGACTTCTTACCCCATCCCCATTCCCTGCTGTCCTAAAAGAAAATGGGCCATTCCCTGCAGTTTGGCCCCCTAACCTACAGAAATACTTCCAAGCTTCTGAACTATGTGAGTGACAGGTCCTTGCAAGCCATAACTCAGACACAAGGGCAGGTATGAGAGAGAATTCTATCCTCAATGAAGGAGGGGAGATGGGAAGCAGCTCATGTTATGAGGCTCCCGGGTGTCGAGAATCACTTTCTCAGAGAAGGCAATCTGCTTTTCTGTTTAGAATGGATCTGCGGACTTGGCCATCTCAGGAGCCAAGACCATCTTTAATCTTTCTCTTCTATCCCCCCATACCACAACTCTCTCTACATGATGGAATAAAGCAAGCTAATGTGTAACTGGTATGTGCAAAACAGTTACATGAGGTAAAAATATTTAAATACTTTCATACTGGTTAAGAAATCGCTAGCTGCTAGGCGCCAGCCCACACCTGGGATGACCAGACAGTCTACATGTGCCTCTGAAAGGGCCCCTGCTATAGTCAGCATCTACTCTGATAAATTCTGGTCTCTACAGACTGTCAAATATTTTGAAAATCATCTCTAGATATACATGGAAGTGTTACGTGCTTGAAGACTTTACTTATCTACAGGGGTCAGACAGAAACTCAGGGAAGGATGCTCCCATTATGGGAGCTCAGCTTAACCTGACACCCTTACCCTACTCCCACCCACCCCACCCCTGCCCGCCAGGGAATCTCACCTCTGTCCCCTTCGTCTTCTGGCTCCTCCTGTGGGGCCTGCTCCAGCACAGCCACGTCCCCCTGGGGCCCTGCTGGCAGGTCCCCGTTGTACACAGTCTTGTTCAGTGATGGAAGCTGTGGTGGTGGTGGCTGTGCCAGCTTCTGTCGCAGGGCATTGATCTCCCGGCGCAGCAGGCGGACACGGCGGGTCCGGGCCCCGCTAGACCGCATGGCACTCACCAGGTCCAGTTTCTCCAGCAGCTCCTTCAGCTGCACCTCTGGGGACAAATGGGCCCGGTTCTCTGGGATGAGGATGTTGTCCACTGCCAGGGAGAAGGGAGGACAGAAGGGGCTGAAGGAACTTTCCAGCCCAGGGCAAGGGAAAGGGGCCAAATCCTTCGGATGCAAAATATTTTCCTGGAATGCCTGGGCCAGTGGCTTCCAGCAGCATCACTGTGGGGCCTTGACCCTGGCAACACCACTGCCTGGAGGGCAGCCACAAGGACATGGTCAGAACCTGGGAAACATCTGCAGGAAGCAGTTCACAGTCATGATTACTGGCTCTGTGGAGAAGGCACGAGGCAGCTTGGCAATCCCCTGGCCTCAGTGACTGTTTGGCTGCTGCCATCGAGAAGCAGAAAGTAGAGGCAGTCAGAATACAGGGCTCAGAGGCAATTCTGTTTTTTTCTGGTACTCTATCTGCACTCTTCTGAATGAGCCGGTCATATACTAGCTTAACACTCCCCTGGCCCTGTGCTCAAATGTCACAGAACAGGGAATCCAAGAGAGGAAGACCCTTGGTAAGACTCTGGCTTTTAAAACAAACACCGAATGCCTGATTACCAATTCCTACCATTCAAGAAGTACTCAATAAAATAGTTAAACTTCAACTCTTGGAACTATTCCAGCCACAAGCAGGTATGTCCCAGCCTGTGCCCACACCCAGCTTTGCTCCTAAGTCTACTCTATTGCCCCAAGACCCACCCTGATCCCTGGTTCTCTGGGCTCTGTTCCTGTACCTCGGCCTGGTCCCTCTCCTCCCCACCCATCCAAGCTTCTCACCGTCTTCCCAGGAGAAACGGTAAAAGTCCTCCAATTTGGGAGACTCGGGCAGGTGGGTGCCCCTCTCAGTGTCATAGCCGATGTTCTCTGCCTGCCGCCGGGCGTGCCGAAGAATGGCGCCCCCGAGGTCCCGCAGGCGGACAGCTGCTCGGTGGAAAATTGTGTCTTTAGCATTATACTTCATGCAGTTGGTAACTATAAGGTTAAAGTCCTCCTCAAACTCCTCCAGGGTGCGGTACAGGTGGGATTCCAGCTTCCGCCTCATAGTAGAAAAATCCATTGGCTTGGATATGAATTCCAGGTAATCTGGAACCTAAACATATAAAACCTGTACAATTACAATAACCATTTACTAGCCAAACAGGTACACCCTTCACTGGTACTCTTGCCTCCCCAGTGTCTGGTTTGGCCACAGTGGGTTCACTCAAGAATCCCAGGGCCTTAGCCCACCCTGGCCTGCAGACTCCTCGGATGGGCCAGTCTTATCAGACATTCCCTGGTTTGTATATCCTGTGGCTCAACCCCATCCTGGCCCACTCAGCCCTGTTTTCAGTCTGGGAAGGGCTCACTGATCAGGAAGTGGGGGGCGGGGGGACTTGCCTCACTCAGGTTGACAGGTTCAGCAAAGATGTGTGCGGGGTCCTTTTCCTGCAGCAAGTCCAATGTTGTCCTCAGCAGAACATTGAATGGCATCAGTTCCAGCTCCATGGCAGCCTGCTGGACCTTGACCTGTGGAGGACCCAGGAGAGATCAGGACATTCCCCACAAAGAGTTAAAGCTTTTTAGCCCTTACTAAATACCAAGCATTTTATCTAATAGGGATGAGTATGTGAGTTTGATACAGACAAGAGATTTTATAAAGTGGAAACTGAGGCAAAGAGAAACTAAATAACTGACCCAAGATAATACAGCTAATAAAGGGCAGAGCTGGGATTCAATCCCAGAGATTCTGGTTATACAGTATGCGCTCCTGACTACCTTGCCACACTGATTCTCTATATTACCTCAACCATTACAATAACCCAGAAAGAGAAAATGTTATTATCCCCATTTGAGAAATACGGAATCTGATATTTCAAGAGAAATCTTGAAATCACTAGCCCAAGGTCACCTCATTAGAAAAGAAGAGAGACAGGATTCAAAGCCAGGTCAAGGGTTAGCTCAAGGAACAGAATGATGATACAATGTGCCTTGGCTAGAATTCCTACTAGTGTGCTGAGATATTGATCTCACTGGCCCATGGGGTGCCTGGGTCAGCCTGGCATGGCCAAGGGCTCCAGGCTCACCCTCTCAAAAGAAGCAGGCAGGCCTACTGTGATGTAACCAGGAGGTAGGCTCATATATTTACAGTAGTTTGCTACACAAATGTTATTTTCCATGTGTACCCTAATGTGAAAAGGCTAAGAAGACATGGATTAGACTATGGAAAGTTTCTGTCCCTTGGTTACATCAAAACAGATGTGCCTGCTTTCTTTTCCCTTTCATTTCTCTGAATCAAAGGCAGGCAGAAAGGTCCAACTGTGGGACCAGGCCTGGGATGACACACAATTTATACGCATGGAGATCCTGAGATGTCCTCCATGTTCACCCAAGCTAAGTATAGGAAGAGTTGCCAGGCTCAAAAGTGGAAACTCATGCTTTAGGCCTGCTAGCTAAGAAGAGTCTGTGCTGGAGGTGAACAGTCATGTGGAGTTCGGAAAAAGAAAGGAAAATCTTTAACCAGGCCTCTGAAGGATGCGAGTAATAGCTGCCATTCCTCGACTAGAGAGAACAGTTTTGGCTTATCATCCATTCAATTAATAGCATTTGCTCTCTGCCATGTGCAGAGTGCTACAGCAAATATTCTAGGTAATTATCAACAAAAATAAAATAATAACGATAATAATAACTGATACTTCTATAGGCCCTACTATGTGTCAGGCATTGTTCTAAGTTCTTTTTGTGTACTAACTCATCTACTCTTCACAATATGAGGTAGGTTCTAATTACCCCCTTTCACAATTGCGGAACCTGTGGTATAGAGCAATTAAGCAACTTATTCAAGGTCACATAAACAGTAAGTGACAGAGTGAGAATTTAAACCCAGGCAATCTAGTATCAGAGCTCATATTTCTAACCCCTATGCTAAACTAACTCAACATTCCCTATGTTTGGAAGTTTAAAATCTTCTTGAACAGAGATTAGAAAATTTAAATGATTCAAGACCCAAAGTATTTAAAAGCCAAGTGAGAATCCTCAAACGCTCCCAAGACAGGTTTTCAAAATGGCTTGAGTTTTGTGAAATATTCAAGGTCAGACACTCCCCCTGAGATTTCCTCAATCAGAAACTCCAGAGATGGATCCGCTCAGATGACATTAAACTTATGTTGAGGACACTAGAGCCCCAAAGGGTTCTCTACATGACACTCATGTAGAGCAGGCAGACCTTGAGACCACAGCATGGGCAGGAATGCGAGAAAGAAAGCTGACACCCAGGTAGGGGCGCCCAGGTCTCATGATATCACACTGATAGTGGGAGAAAAAGATCTTAAATAAGAGCCCTGGGGCTGGGGCCCATCTTACCTGTTCCCTCTTGAGTTTCTCTCTCTTCCGAATCAGCTCAATCAGCAGCCGTGCCCGCTCCAGGTCATGTCGGAGCTTCTGCCAGTATTTCAGCTCTTCCTTCACTGCACTTGTCTTTTCATCCTGTTCTCGCTGCAGAAGGGAAAGGAAAGGAAAGAGAAGCAGGGAGTCTCCTGCTTCTCTCCCTGTTGTCTCCCTGTTCAAGCCTAACAGGACCTTGGCAGGTAAGGGCCTGTCCCCTTTCTTGACCCAAGTCCCCAGGGGCCCTTCCACCGCTCACCACCCTTTGTCTCCCTCCCAGGCTCCCCCAGCTTTATGATAATGTTTCTTCACTGCAGCATAGTAACCACTGCTGTAGTGAGATCTGGAACTGCTTCTCCTGCCCCTGGGGACACCAGAGAGCAGCTGTGCCCCTCAGGGCTGGAAAGAATTTCAGAAGGAAACTAATAGACACCTCAGGGGTGGAAAGAATTTCACCCTCGAATTTCAACTTGGCCAGAAGACAAAGTGGAGTTTTTACAAGCTTGTACTAACTGACTTGAAAAAACTTTGGTAAAACACCGCTACCATCATCAAAAATGTGATCTCTATGTCTAGAACAGGCTACAGTATAGTTAAGGGAGGGAAAAGGCCTAGGGTTTGATATGCAAAGGCATAGGAGTATAAAGACAACAAAAGCTGATTGTATAAACTGAATATAAAATGCTGAGAATATAAAATAGAGAGGATCTGAATGGGTCAGAGTTAGACCAAGAAAGGTGTCCTGGGGGAAGCAATCTTACTAGGGTTTCACATGTAGTGGTGGGCATGGATGAATAGGCAGTAAGGCGTCTTTTAGAACCAAAAGGCCCACATAGCAGAAGTGTAGAAGTTAATGATGTTGATGAGAAAAATGGGCTCACCAAAGCAGAGAAGCCAAGACCCAGGATTCAGTTGCTAAGAGGCCTCAAACATCAGGCAAAAGAGCCTGGAAATGGCCTTCCCAACGGGGAACAAATTCTGGGAAAGAAGTGACAGGATAGAAAATGGTGTATGAATAAGACACTGCCTGTTGTAGAGCAAAGACAAAACAAGAATCCAGAGACCATCTAGAAAGCTATTATTGAAGTTAAGGGGGCATGGATGAGCAGGGTAGCTGCAGAATGGAAATGGGGGGCAGTATACCGATGAAACCCCAAACAGCTTACTATTAACCGTGGTTCATTATAGAGGGAAAAATCAAGGTGGGGCCCATCTGAGGTCAGGAGGGAAAAGGTTCCATGCAAATAATGGGCAAGTAAGTTTACTGAGGGGAAGAAAGAGAACACCTACGTGGCTGTCTACATTTCCTCTGCCCCAGACAAGGACAAGAAGAGAAACCTGGAGCTACTGCCACAGTTATTTGCAACTACAAGTAGACAAGCTCTCCAAGCCAAGCATCAGGCAGTCAAGACCCTGGGAATGTTAAAATTAAGGAATAAGAAGCAGGATGTGCATGGGATACAAACAGGGTGAAAGAATTGGAAATTATGTCAAAGAGAGGCTCTCTCAGACAAGGTGATTTGTGATGTCAAATGCAGCCCAAGTCAGTATGGTGAGAATCTGAGGAAAGATTTGCTGGGCTATGCAAAGGTCACGAATGTTTTAGGGGAGTCTTTGGGGGAGCAGGTGGCTCATTTTGAGGAGGACTAGATATTGATTTGCACTTCAGAGACTTGTGTTACAGAATGCAAAACTGAAATCAGACAGAACACAGAGGCACCAGAGTGATATAACGGCTTGCTTCATCTCTGGAGTAGTGATGTGGGACTATTTAAAGAGGGAAGTAACAGAACAAGTAAAGAGGGAGAGAGAATTGAAAATGTTTGCAAAAAGGTCTCTCAGGAGGTCTCTACCATTTCAGAAAACACTAAGTGTGAAGCAACTCCAGTTGCTAATGGCTAAAGATCACCCCAACTGGGCAGGCCGCATGCTACAACTTAGATGGCAAATATGTACATTTACTATGAAACAATTTTTGGCAGAGGGTAGTGTAGTGTGTTGAGGAAAGTACGTTTTTTCCTAATTCATACAACGTGGCTGCCCTGGCTCTTATTCAGCTCACTTCTTCCTCTCCCCCATGTCGAAAGGGTTTTTCCCACATATATGGAGTTGGGCTAGCTCTCCACACTCCCCTCCAATCTGCTCCGAAGCCAAGTCTCTCCCACCAGAGATGGTCTGGTATAAAGATGGTGACTGTCTGCAGGCAAAGACTCCAAGGAGGGCTCAGGGAGGGTACCCCAACCATCACTCTCCACCTCCCTCCACTGGTCTGCCTGGTTCTTAGCCAGCATGCCTTCAAATCACCACTTCACCTACCTGCTCGGCATTTCTTTGGGACTGCAGGTGGGAGTGCAGGCGCCGGATGAGGGGGACACCATTCCGTGCCTGCCGCTTCAACAGCCAGTAGTTGTGAAGCCGTTGCATGAACTGGTTTTTCCTCTGAAAGGAGAGACCACTACAGATCTTGTTCAACCTTGAGTAGAGGCACAGGGGATTGAAAGACAGGGTCAGTGGGCAGCACAGATTATAGCCTGTGCATCCTATCCAGACCCTGGTTCATTTCTGAACCTAATAGAAGAGCAAAGAACAAAGTGGCTAAATGCCTCACCTCAGAGAAAGGCTGGGAAAGGATAGCAAAGTTAAGCAGCTCAGACTCAGATTCAGCATGAGATATTTTATTTGATTTTCCATCTCCTGCCTTGTATTCCTGATCCTCCGAAAGAATCCTCTCCCAGAAACCCCGTATCCTGTGATTTTGGACTCCTGAGAAATAGGCCTGCGCTCCAACACCCTACCCTTGTCTTGATAAAGACAGCAAAAAAAAAAGGAACAGGAACTTGAGTAAGCTATAGGCAATATGGCCTAACTTCCTGCCCCCCTAAGGATGAAGGTCCTGCAAGAGCAGGGAGTAGTCCACAGCCAAACTGGAAGGAAAGCCAGCAGGAATACCACAGGTTACTACTTTGAGTTCAAATGCAACCCCTTGGAATCACTTTGCTTATTTTTCATTAGAAATCTCAACAGCCTACAATGTCTATATTTGACAAAAAAAAAAAAAAAAATCTCTAAAGATGTAGGAGAATGGAAAATCAGCTGATAAGTAGTCTTATTAATCTCAGGGGTTAAGCCAATAACATGGGGGGCAGGGGAAAGAAAGGGATAAGAAGAGAATTAATAAAAGTCTACAATCTCTATCCTAATGCCCACACTGTAAGTAACGAACATTATTCCCAAGTTACAAAAGATGGAAAGGCAGTTTAGGAATAGAGGTTGAATAAACTGTCAAAGTCACAGCTAAGAAGATGGTGGAGCTGGGTGGGATTTGAATCCATGATCTCTCAGCTATACCATGCTGTGTCCTCAAATTGGTTATCCACCAGGTAAGCAAGGCCCCAGAGCTCCTGCGGTGTTTCCTCCATTTTTTCTCTTCACCTCACTCCAATGAGAGCAAGATAAACATAGCTGAACAAGAAAGTGGAACCTAAGAAGAATGGGCATGTTGAGCTCGACATTGCTCACCTAGGCCTTGCTCCTTCCCATAGTCAGACATTCCTGCCCCAAAGCCAAGCTTACAAAATCAAAGCCTAGGCCTTTCCCCAAAGGACAGATCCCCCACCAATGCCCATGCCAAGCATTCCTGCCCAGACGCAGGCAGCCCCCTCCCTCTAGAACTGTGTGACCACGGAGGGCCCAACAGCATTTATGCAGGTAGGGAAAAGAATAATAATAAAATAGCAGCAGCAGCAGTAGCCACCATTTATTGAGCGCTTACTATTTACCAGGCGCTGTGCTAAGTGCTTTACTTACGTTATCTCATTTATTTCCCACAACACCACTGTCTGGTAGGTTCATCCACAATAAGGTAAAGCTTAAAGAAGTGAAGTGACTTGCCAAAGGTCACACAGGTAGTAAAGACAGAAGCAGGATCCAGTGACAGATCTGTCTGGCTCTCTAAGAGCATGTTAAGCCAGCCCCTGCAAAAGGCATCTACAAGGGCAGATGTAACCACCAAAAAGTCTCCCCTTGGGGAATAAATGGCCTACAGATGGGGAATAAACAGCCTGCACAGCATCAATGCACTCACCTCAGGGAAGAAGGTAGCCTAGAACAACTCTGTGACTAGAAGACATATTTCCAGTAGGCTGAATTATAACTCAGGACCATGGCTCACAATAAGAACCTCTCCCTCCTGATCTTCTCTGCTCAGTGTCTTCTTCGCAACCTGAGACATCTAGTTACCTACTCCCCTCACAAAACTCACTGCCCACTAGTTTCCAGTACTCTTTTCCCTCTATCCTTCTCATAAAGGGAAACAGACAGCAGGAACAGGACCTAGAGGCATTACAAGCCCCAGATGTGGTCCAAGGTCTGTCACTTTTGACCTGGTCCTAGCCCTTAGAACAGGACGTGGCATATAGTAAGTGCTCAATAAACATTTTGTTTAATAAATAAAGGAGTGAAAAACTTTACCTCCCGTGGTCGCGGTTTCTTCATCTGGGGGTGTGGGAGAAGGTGCAAGGACTACATTAGATGAATAATCGCCAAGATTCCTTCTTGCTCTAACATTGTGTGCTTTTTAATGAACATAACCCTTGAGATAAACCTCTGCTGAACAATTTTCCCTGTCTCCTGCTTCTCTGCCAACTTCCATCCCTCCAACAGATCCAGCTACCTCTCGGATGGCTTAAAACAGGTACAATGATTCCTCTTTGTCTCAGTGGGAGTCAGAGTGGCTGACTAATTATACAGCTGACTGAGTGAGCCTCTTTCCCAAGTCTAAAAGCTTCTCAAGAGGAGGAATAGCATGTCTTTCCCATACCACAAAACCTTCACATGAAATTCCCATTATTCCCAGAACAGTGCTTTTTGGACAGGGGTTTGGACAGGGGACACCAACTCTTTGATACTGTGATTCTCAATTGAAGTAGTAAGGAGATGTGTGGGACCATACGAGGTTGTCGCAAAGACCAGTCAGTAAGGGAAAGGATATACAACTGGCTCTTACAAAGACCAGGGATGCTAAACATTTCTAAGCCACTTAAGTATTTGTCTCACCTTGAACCAAATGAAATACATTGCACTGAGGGCACAATCAAAACCATAAACCAGGCCAGGCACGCCCAGAGTCCAAAGGAGAAGTCTAAATTTGAGGGCACAGAAGACAACAGACATTGACTAACCATGATTGGGGAAGGAGGCCTGGCTCCGGGCCAACACCAGCCCAAGAAACTATGCGTCCCTGGGGAGCCCTTCTCGTCAGGCTCACCTGTAAGAAGGTATCTGTGGGACAGTGACCATAGGGACAGTGGAGGGTGCATCTCGGCCCAGTTCCTCTGGTTCCTTCTTGATCTTTTGCTTCAAAGTCATCTTGCTCTTCTTGGGTACTCCCTTAAGGGGCCCACCTTGGCCTTCATCTTCTTCCTCCTCTTGCACCTCTTCCTTCTCTTCCTCCTCCCCACAACCTTCCTTCAGTCCTTCCTCATCTCCAGCCTCGCTCAGGCTTCTGGGGGAGTCGCCCTTCCTCCTAGAAGTGGCAGCACCTGGTGGCGAGTGGGCCTCGCAATAGGCAGTCTTGCGCACTGTGAAGATAGTGCCATTGAGGCTGGTCTCACGCATGGGCTCAATTTTCATGAAGAGGCCGGCCCGCTGTGCACATGTTACATGGAAAGCGGTGTAGCAGTTCACCTTATGGCACTGGATGGCAGCGCCCAGTCCCTTCTGCTTGCAGATATAGCAGGTTAGTTTCCAGCGGGCAGGTGGGATGTTGTCAATGCCCTCAATGGGCTCCAGGAACACGGTGTTAGCGAAGCAAACTTCAGGGATCCAGATGGCACACACCACATGGGCCCAGTGCCCATCGCTGGTCTGTTTGAATGCACCACCCTTGTTGGGACAAAGGACGCAATCCACAGGCCGGGAGGGAGACTGCAGGCAGCAGCGGCACAGCCACTGGCCCTCGGGGATGTAGGGGACACCGTAGCACTCCTGGTGTACAGCCAGGTTGCAGATGTCACAGAAAAGAATGACATTGCTATTGTGGCATTCATCGTCCAGACACACACAACAGAAGGCATCTTCATCAATGAGTGACTGCTGGGCCCCACTGCTACGGCTCTCCAAGTATGACTCCTTCTCAAGTCTGTCCACCAGCAGCTCAAAGGTGTCTGCCGACACCAAACTGTGCCCATCCACTCGCCGCTTCTCATTAACCATATCCAGCCAGGCTAGGTCCTCCTCATCCATGTCATACTCTACCTCTGCATCCAGGTCTTCAGGTGGCTTCTCAATGTAGCGGTAGTAGGCAGCAGGCAGTGGAGGTGCTTCTGGCTGGCTGCCTGAGTCCACCATGCGGAAGCTGGGCTGTGGGAGGTGGAAGGAAGTGCCAGATGCATGCTTGGAGCAGGAGTCCTTCTTCTTGCCCTTCGAGGAGGACTTTTTGGACTTGCCAGGGAACTGAGGCTGCTCACTGTTTTCCTTGTTACTATTGCATTCGGTGATATCCTGTGCCATGAGCTCATCCTCTGTGATGATCTTCAGTGGGTCATAGATGCTGATACGATGCAGACGTCCATCAATGTCTACCTCCACAATCCGCTGGGCCTGGGCGTATGTCAGGGTCTCCCGGGTAGGTGAGCACTTCAGACTGTACGGGGACGGGGAACGCCGGCTCTCGGCATTCTGCCGCGACTTCTGGCGCGGCTTCCTCATGGCACCTGGGAACCAAGGGGACAGGCCTAAGGAGAGAAGGCCAAGAGACCATGAGCTACATGTTCAGGCATGCATGCATTCATTCACCCTTCCCTGACTGAGTGACTGCTGAGAGCACTGGCTGCTCCCCCTGCCTGAACATTTGCCCCTCAGATACCACGTGCCTTGCTCCTTCATCTTCTTTCAAGTCTTCCCACAAATCTTCTCGAGATTCTTGACCACTCTACCTAAAATTGCAAATCCCTTCCCCCCACCAGTAATCTTTCATTTTGCTTTGTTTTTCACTATACACTCACCATCTTTTACTGTGCTATATAATTTATCTCATTATCATGTACAGTCATGCATGGCTTAGCCATGGGGACACATTCTGAGAAATGTGACAAATGATGTTATTCAAGAGACACAGTAAACATGTATGAAGCTGCTACCAGCATAAAAAACTATGACTCCGGGTAACTACAGTGTCACTAGGCAATTAGAACTTTGGGACAACAGTGTATGTACACACAGTTCTTTGCTGACAGGAATATCAGTATGTGGTACAAGACTGTGTGTTGTTTGCTTCCTTTCACTAGAATGTAAGTTCCATGAGGACAGGAATTTCTGCCAGTTCGATTCACTGATGTATCCCCAGCACCTGGTGCTTGGCTCCTCAGTAAGCGCTTAGTAGTATCAGTTGAATGAGAAGAGAAATCAGACTCGCATGAGCCCTGCCCTCAAGGAGCTGACTGAAGGGAAAAAGATGATTATAATTTGACATGGGGAGAGTTAATATTCTAATGATGTACATAAAGCTGGGGGGCAGCTAACTATGGAAAAGGAGGTGACTAAGGCTTCAGAAAAGGAAACAAGAACAGCATCCACTCTTAAGCTCTGTTCATGAACAGCGGCCCCTATCAGAGGATCAAAAATTCACAGGTCTAGCACCTTTTCCCCACCCATTATCACCAGGATCTGAATCCCTAGCCCCCACGCCCTAACCATACCTAGAAATGTCTATAATAAGCAGTCTAAGGACTTCAATCTACAGTACAGCAGGGTTTTCTCTGCAAAAGGCAGCATTCAAGACACACTGGCTAGCTCAATTCGAGCAGAAACCCTGGAAACTCTGGGAGTGGGCCAGGTAGACTAGCTGAGATTCTCAGAGGATGCAAGGCCAAAGTGACTGGGGCAATATCCCTGATAAACTCTCAGTTCACTGTTACCTTGAGTCCCTCACTCCACAAATACTTACATCCAGTCTAATCTTGCATAGCAAAGAGAAAATTCTAAAATTTCTTACACCATTCTCTGGATGGAGGGAACAATGACAAGCTCATAAGGAACAATGGAAACAGTCACTGGGGTCACCATGGCCAGGAAAAACTTTTGGGCATATGGTGTCCTCAGTTGTGGGCAGGGACTTGGAAGGTTATGAGCAGAGGGAAGATCTCAACCAGAAAAACAGAGTTTGACATTCTGGTTACAGGATCTACCGTCCTTATAAAGTGCAGAGGGCAACAATGTAATACATTTTTTACAAACTACAAATCTCTTTTACTTTTAATACTTCTCACAACTTGTTGGGAAGAACAGATATTATCAGCTCCATTTTTCAGACAAAGAAACAATTCAGAAAGGTATCCCTCAATGCAAAGTTAGTGAGTGATAAAGCTACAATTCAAACCCAGAGCTTCTAAATCGCTCAACTCATTTCACTAAGAGGTACGAACACCAGAGATTCCGTGGTCTGGTACAAAAAAACAGGCTCTGGGGCAATCTAGGTTCTTATCTTGATTCCTAGTGACCTGGAAGAAGTCATTTCATCTCTGTACCTCCATATTCCACCGGTAAGGTGAAGTTAGTCTACTTTTTAAGTGTTGCTATCTGTTAACAAGGTGTTATTAACAACCTAAGTTTCCCAAAGTGTGACTGAAAGCAACAAAAGAGGCGCACACAACCCATCGGAGGCTGAAGAAAACAGACTCCTCCCGCCCAAAAAGTCCAGGAAGCAGAGGCTCCTGAACCCCACAAGGGCTCACAATTGCCAACTCCCTGGGGGCAGCGCAGGCCAACCAACCTGCTTTATTATCCCTGCCTCCTCAAGGGCATGGAGACCCCCTAGCCACGTGTGAACATTTACCTGGAAACTGACTTGAAACCGTTTTGAGTGTGCCTCCTCCTCTGGTTAGAAGCACCACAGTATTTTCTCCCACCTGCCACCTGCTCAGGTAGCTCTCCAACTAAGCACTCCTTCAGGCCTACCCTCCAGAAGCCGCAGCAGAGGTGGGGGTGGAGATGCCCCCCCACACCTTTCCCACCCACCCCCCACCCCACTCGCAATCTCCAGAGGGTAAAGGGCTGTTTCAGTGGAAAATGAAATGAGTTTCGCCCACAAGGAGCTTACAGTCTAGTTTTTTGGCGGGAGTTTGCCTCCCCACGCAGCTCTTCCCACATACGCACCTCCAAATATCTCCAACACCCCATGAGGTCTTCTAGCACTCCGTGGCCCCCCCACTCACCACCCCACCTAGGTCCCCGAAGAACGAGGGGCTTCTGCAATTTGACTATACCCGGCCCTGCACCGCACCCCAGATACTCAGGAGATAAGGGAGGCCCCCAGGCAAGGCTCCTGCCCTTTTAAAGGGGCGCCTCTTCCAGAAGAATCTCGACCCTTCGAAGGAGAAATGAAGGAAATAACATCTCCTCCCCAGAGGGGAGGGGGCGAGCGAGCCAGAGACCGACTGACGCGGAGTCCGCTCCTCAGACAGAGAAAGCGAGCGCCAGAGAACGAGCGGGGAAGAGGCGAGCACTCATTGGCCGCTTCACTTGCCCGTCAGGAGGCCCCAGGGGCCCTAGGGACGCTCAGGGGGTGGAACTCGCCTCCGGCTTGGCCAATCGGAGAGCGGGGCGGGGGCGGGGCTCGGCGGCTCGGCTTCCAGAGCCGGGGGGGAGACAAGATGGCGGCTGCGGGAGGGGGTCCTCGCTTTTCAGCTCCCCCCTCGCCCGCCTTCTCCTTCCCCGCCGCCGCCCTAGCTTCAGGGGAGAGCGTTCGCGCCGCCCCCGCCCGGCTCGGGAAGCCCCTCGCTTTCTCCCCCCCACCTCCCGCGCAGTCCCCGGTCCCCGTAGGCCCCGCCGCCCCCGCCCCCGCTCGGTACGGCCCCGCGGCCACCCCCATTACCTCAGCCGCCGGCCCGGCCCCGCCGTTCGGGGCCCCTGGGCGCGGGCGGGACGGCCGTCGAGCAGGTCGGTGCGGCCCGGGGAGCGGAGCGCGGCCTCCCGCGCTGGTCTCCGCGGCCACCGCCGTGCCCCCTCCCGGCCCGCGCTGGGGCCCCGGCCCGGCCGCCGCCGCCGCTCCCGGGGGAGGAGGGGGAAAGAGCCGCCGCCGCCGCCGCTGCCGCCACGGAGCCCGGCCGAGGGGAGGGAGGGATCAGCCCCCAGGCAGGATCCGCCCCTCCGGCCTCTCCCCCGCCACCTCCACCCCTTCCCTCGCTCCCTCCCCGGCTCCGCGGGCTCTCCCGCTGCACAGGAGCGAGGGCGCGAAAAGAGGGGGAAACGGGAAAAAATCCCCCCGCCCTGGCCCGGCGCGGCGGCGGCCGGGGCGGCGCGGAGAGGAGCGCGGAGCCGCCGCCGCCACGGGGCACGGTCCCCGGCTCGGCCTCACGGTGGCGGTGCGGGCGCGGCGGGGCGCGGAGCTGAGGCCGGCGCTGCCCCCGCCGCGGCCCCGGCTCGCCCGCGTCCAGCCCGCCGCGGGCGAGCTCGGCCGGGGAGCTGGGGGCTTCGGGTCCGGCGGGGGGCGACGGAGACCCCTGACTCTTTCCGTGGTCAGGCGCCCCGCTCCCGCTCCGGCTCCCGCTCTCCCTCTCCCTGGGGGTAGGCGGCTGAGGTGTGGGAGCTACAAACTCCTTCCCCGAGCTGGGGGTCCCCCTCCTGAGGTTGAGCCAGGGCAGAAATGGAAGTCAAAACCTCTCTGCAGTTTCTTGGGGTGCAGGTGCTGCACTACTCCCAGAAAGTTGCCTCCCCCCTGGTGCCCAGGTCCGGAGGACAAAGGTCTGGCGAGGGCCAGCCCCTCCCCCAGGGAGGGCGGCCGGGAAAGACCTGGGTCTATTGTGCACAGGTGAGCGGCTGCCTTCCCGCAGGACCCCCTTCTGACTTGACTTGGCCGTGTGTCGTCCTCGCCTGTATTTCAAAAGAGTAAACATAAAAGTTTGACAGTCTACTTAAGGACGTCTGGTAACTCGTTTGTCATGTAGACATGGAAACGCTTTCAACCTGATTTGGCCGGGAACTGGTGCATTTAGTGCACTAGGTGCCTTTCTAAAATATGCTTGACAAGTGGCAACCGGACTGTCAGTAAGTTTCAGAGAATGGCCTTTGACCACCTTCCCTCCCTCCTTGCCTGTGAAGTGCAAAGCTTACCTCATGTGACCGAAGTCTTAAGCATCAATAAAATTTCATGGTGTTTCTAAAGCATGTATGGCTAGACCACCTTTAAATGTGCAGATGAATGACGTATTTTGAAAGTGTTCTCCTCTGCCCGCGCTGCTGGGGTAGCTTGACTGGCACAATTTCTTGCTGGGTTCTGATGCTCAAAGACATGGATTCTAGTCAGAGAATGAAGTCTTCCAAATGTTTACACTCTAAGGAATGTTCATTAACCAAAGGAATTTTAAAATACTGTGTTTTGAAACTGAAAGTCTGATTAAAAAGTAAAGAAGCTCATTTTGTGTTACAAGTGTGTGTGCCCTGATTAGATGGTAGTACCTTCTGGCAAAGTGATAGTAAAAATACTTGTTAACTATTTTTCTTTTTTTTAAAAGAACAGGGAGTGGCTTGTGGAGCTAAGCAAGGGCAGGGCACTGTTTTGAAAGTTGCCAAGATGAAATAGTATGAATTAATGTCAAGTGTTCTAAGACTACAGGGAATAATCATTTAGAGGGAATGTGTGGAAGAAAAGATGATTAATTGTGGAGAAAGCCCCAGAGGCAAGAGTATATTACAATTACTTTTAAATAAGGAAAAAAACAAAAACAAACTGACACTAGAAACAAGAATACTGGATTTTATTTCTTCCTTTAAAATATAAAATACAACTGTTTATTCATATGACTGGTAATTTATTGATGCATGTTCTCAATATTTATTAGTGCAATTGTATTTGTGTCATTGGGAGCTCTTTTTTTTTTCCACTAAACTTAATGAATAAATACCTTGAGAAAACACACTGGTTTCCACTTAAATGCTGTCAAAAATGCTAAGTTAACCTGATACATAAAATTTCCAGGTTTTTTTCTATTCAAAGTTTTCATACTAAGATACCCAGTTTACCTGTTTCCATTCCATTTCCCCACATCCACTCTCTTAATGGTAATATTACAGTCATTCTCACTTTTATTTTGACATTTGCAGTTGGTTTCTATTAGTGTAACTGCACACATAACCAGTTCACAATGATGTGATCTTAAATGTAGCATGGAGCAATTAATGTCATTAAAAACAAATTTGGAACATGTATCAAAAATCCCAGAGGCACTAAATTTGATTCACTTTTAATTTTCAGCTATAGTAAAGAGTTTAAATTCACCAGCTCCTGGCCTTTCCATTAAACCATACAGCAAATTAGTTAAATAAGCAGAGGCACAGATATTTGATTCCAAATAGTAGTTTTAAAATTTCTGCATTTCTAAATGGAAACTAACTTATTTGGAGTAGGAGAGTGTTTTACCATTTACAACTAAAAGAGAAAACATGAGTACAAAAAGACTTCCCCCCATCTGTCCCCCAGCATCTCAGGATATCTTTGTCAACACTTAACTGTTATCATTAGTTCACCAAGACAAGAGACCTTTGCAGGAACTGAGGCAGTATCCACTAGATTAATAAAATATTTTGATGAGAAGAAAATAGACTTCGATAGTTAAATTATTTTTAATAAACTTTCTTTCTGAGACCTGGCTAAAAGAATTCTCTAACCACAGTTGGGAATAATGTCAGAGGTTGAAATCATTGTGATATGTGTATGCTGTAATGAAAAAAATTCAAGTTTGCTTAGAAAAGGGGAAAAAGTGGCTAGGCTAATGAACTTTAAATTGAACCATAGCCCCTAAGTTTAATTCCATTCCTTCCTATAACAGATTATTAATTGAACACCTTCTGTGTGTCCAACATTATATAAATTCCTTTGGAAAATAATGACAAAATCTCAAATTCTGCTTTTTTTTAAGATTTATTTATTTATACATACAAGAGCCAGAGTGCAGGCCAAAGATGTGGGGGCGTGTGAGGATTCACCAGAGACAGAAGTGGGGAGAACAGGCAGATCTACTGAAAATACGCTGCTGAGGGGAGCAGCTGGCAAGACAGGCGAGGTCTGTTATACCATGTGGGTGACCTCCCTGGTGGAGGATTGAACTCATCCTGCAGTGACTGCAGATAGCTTCATAGTACTGCATATTACCCTCTTGCACCGCCAGGAAGGCCCCAAATTCTGCTATTTAGACTCGTCTCACAATCTCATAACCAACCTGATATATATGGCCAGAAAGACCAGCTGCTCTGCTAAGATTTGCCCATTGTCCAATACTAGAATCAGTGGACATGAGCAAGAGGTGATTCTCCGATGTGCATGCCATATCTCATTTATCAATTTATTAACTATGAAATTATCACTTTTATTGTTGTCCCTTTTATGTACAGGATAAACAAGAGCAGGAACAGTTATTAGGTAAACCAGGAAATATTTGCTATAGATAATTAGGCATTGTGAAAATAAAAGGATATTGACCAGAATGGTGACAGAGATGGTATAGAAAGAGGAGAAGGCAAATCAGAAGGCAAATCAGTCTGATGACAGATTGGACATAGGAACAAAGCCGATCAAAAAGTTGAAATCTGGAAGGTTTTTACAATGCTGATACAATTATTACAAATTAAGAGGTGGCAAAATTTCATTAGAGACTCCTGTTGGGGGGCCTTCCTGGTGGCGCAAGGGGTTAAGACACAACCCATGAAGCTGTCCGCAGCCACTGCAGCATGAGTTCTATCCCTGGCCAGCCGGGGAGACACCCACATGGCACAGCAGACCTTGCCTGACTCACCCACTGCTCCCCTCAGCAGTGTATTTCAGTCAGTCTGCCTGTTCTGTTCCCCACTCTGTCTCTGGTGAATCCTCTCACTCCCCACATGTATGGCCTGTACCCCAGTTCTTGTATGCATAAATAAATAAATCTTTTTTTAAAAAAAAAAAAAGAACTCCTGTTGGGTCTGACGGCCAAAGGATCGAGGAAATGATGAGTCAACCTAAATTCTCTGGAGCCTCTTTTGGCAATACTAAAGTATTAATTCAATAATTATTATGAGCTGTGGTATTTTATGCAAGTGAAGATGACAGAGGTGAAAAGGCTATGCTCTTGCACTTGAAGGCATTTAAGATCTAATTACAGGAATAAAGCAAGTATATTAGTAACTGAAACATACAACACTGTTTCAAGGGAGATGCATCAAGAGAGATGCAAGCAAAGTGTCCTGAGAGTTTAGAGAAGAGAATGAGCTCTATTGTTTGGAGAAGAGGGAAGGCTGTGAAGAAGGTACCTCTTAAACTCCACTTTAAAGCTTGGGTTGAATGTTAATGAGGAAGATGGTGGAGAGACTATGGTCCAGGCTGAGTACCAGCATGAGCAGAGAAAGGTAAAATACGGTAAAACTGATTCAGGAAACAGTGGGTTACCTCATTTGACCCAAAAATGGGAGATGTAAAAAAAAAAATTGTCAAGGTAACTGTTGGGAAGGAAGCTGGATGTGAAGGGGTAGTTGTTTCTGATGATTTTTGGAA